CGTAAAAGAAAAAGTTCAACGATCCTGTGGGCAGAAAGTGATCTCCCTGGATTCTAAATCTGTTAGTAATCACCATGGAACCATAACCCGTTTTTTCTATTATCTGGTTTACAACTGCCTTTTCATTTGATCATCAGGAAAATCTGGAACGTATATCAAACGTTTACTTAGNTGACGACTTACCGGAACCTGCCGCTGAAGCTTCCCAACTTGGTTTGATCGCTATGTGTGTACTAACTGATTGTTCAAGCTACAGAGAAGACGGAAAGCGAAGAAACTATTTCTAATGAAAGTGCAGCAACTGATAACGAGGTTGTTTCAGATGGTATGTTTTATCTGACTTACGGTGAATATCAATCCGCAGTTCCCGTACGATATCTTGCAGCCGCTGTCGGCCGAAAAGGCGAGCGGCCAGAAATGCAAGATGCACACACCATAGTGGAGAATTTACTCATTTACTTCCGGGTTCCACCATCGAATGAAGTGTGAGTCTTGATGATTTTTCCGGTAAACTTTGCTTTTCAGCCAGCGATTGAGTTTCTTTGCTGTTTTTGATGGTCACGGTGGTGCTCGAGCTGCTGAATTTGCAGCAAAGCGCCTCCATCTCCATCTAGTTTCTCGATTTCCACGAGGTAAGAATACAATAACCCTGGCTGCAGCCTCGTTGTGTGTATTTTTAACGAGATTGTGTTAAAAAACGGTATATGAACTCACTCGTTTCGCCTCAATCATTCATCATCGTCTCACGGCAGAATTCAGTGAAGTAAACCTCACTGTCTGCTGTGAAATCCACAATCCATATACATTGGAATTTGATGAACGAGTTTTGCTAGGATGTCCCATCAATATGCAGGAGAACGAGCAGGGTTTTCAGCTAGAGCCTTCAGTTGTGACAGGAACCTATCCGCAGTGCAGCAGGTAAAGTGAAGTGGGAGTCTTTTTACTTCGACTGATGACTCTATCATTGTTTTTTACCGTCTGAGACTACAACTCCAGCCAAACCCCCAATCTGGAAGGCCTTCCGGACAGAAAAAGTTCATTGGGCTTGTCAAAAGTCATCTTGTTTGTAAATCGTTGGGTCGTAGAGGTGCACAGGCTACCATACCACATCAAGATGTAGTCTCTTCCTAATGCTTAAAATTTCTCTGGAGGCACACGATCAGTTTTATGTTTCTTGCAGATATATGTATCCGGTGTCTCAGTCATTGGACAAAACTTGATCCCCATAGTTAAGGTCGCATTACTGATATGATGGGAATAAGTTTTTAGGATGTAGTCTAGTCACTGTTGAACTGCTTCATTTCAAAGAGTGCTTTCATGTTCGCTATAATTATTTGCATTAGATCGTTGGTTCTTAGTAATAAAGTTTAGTGATCACTTCCATTGTTTGCTGAATGTGTTGTTCATTTTTTAAATAGAACCAAAAATTCTCTCTTTTGTAGAGAAGACTGTATTATTTATTGTATTCCAATGTTCTTGGTGTGCATATTGGTCTCCCTATTCGTCATATACACTTCATCCGTGCTTCATGTTTGTTATTGATTCGCTACGGTTTCTTCATCTCCATCATCGTTTAGGTGGTGTTAAACAGATTGACAAGGATATTCGTCGTGTTCTGTACGATGCTTACAAGAAAACCGACGAGGATTTCCTTCGAGAAGCCATTCAGCAGTAGGAGTCGAACGATTTGCTTCTCCAAATCTAACCACTTGGCCTCCCTTCCTTCTTATCATTTAAAGGCGTCCACATTGGCGTGACGGTAGTACGGCAGCCACTGCACTCATGGTAAACAATACATTCTATCTCGCCAACCTTGGTGATTCTAAAGTGAGTCGAATCTTTTGTCAGCAAAACTAACGGCATCACCCAGTTATCTGCGTTGATTTCATTTAGCAGTTTCTGAATACGATTTTTTCCAAATTCACTGATGCCATCACAAAAACCACGGTGCTATTTCATTCAGCTTATAACAAATTTTGTGGGACGATCTTTTTCTGCCCTCCATTATTTTGCAGTGGGTCATTTTCCACCACGACGAGATTGTACCTTGACGTGGTGTGATGGCCTGTGCACCTCTGTGACCCAACGAGCTACACAGGATGGCTTTTACCGAGCCAAAGATCTAGTCATGCCTGGAAGGTCAATGAGTAGAGATCAGACGAAATCCAGTCTCCTGGTCCTCCAGGTTGGGGGTTCGACTTGAGTCGGTGTCTCAGTCGATAAAACGTATTGGAGGAATAATTGATCGAAGCAAATGGGCCTCCAATCCGCCTTA